GCCGATATTATGTTTATCGTGGAACTTCCAAGCTCAGAGACATTCTAGATGCCTCTAGATATTGGGGGTGGGGGGGTGGGGGGGTCGGTGGGGGTGGTAGTAGAGGGAATGGTAGAAAACTACAACCTCGCTTTAATTGCACCTCCGTTCCACAGTTTCGATTGCGGCCTAGTCCGGCTGTGGTCGGGGCCGCGGGTGACAGATCGAGCATACGGATGTGAAGCCGAATCGGGAACAAGGTGGTCAATATCAGCGGTATTGACGAGGCCTGGATGGGCTTGATCGAGGGATGTGATCCCTACGAGTCTCATCGCGCCCTCTAGTTCGTCTGCCATGACTGTTTTGGAATGGTAAGAGCACATGCATACGGTATGTAATGAGAGGAGGAAAAGCCTCGAGGGGAAAGAGGCACGTAAGGAAGAAGAAGGAAAAAAAATACTTACTATCAAACAAATGCTCCACCCCTTCTTGGCCGTAGGCTGCGGCAAACAACACGCTTCTCCCCATCCCCACCGCCGTGGCGCCGAGACACACCGCTTTCAAGATATCCGTTCCGCGACGGATTCCACCATCTACGTAGATTTCTATCTTATCGAATATTTCAGGACAGCGCTTATGTAACTCCAACAGGGTGACTAGAGCCGGCGGGCTGGTGTCCAGATTGCGGCCGCCGTGGTTACTCAAGAGAATCCCATCCAGGCCAGCTTTCATTGCCAGCATCGCATCATCTGCGGACATGACACCCTTAAGCACAAGGGGGAGATGCGTGTGTTTGCGCGCCCAGACTAGGTCTTCCCACGTTAAGGCCGGGTCAATGAACCCGCCCATGACACGGCCCAATCCCCCACCCTTCGAGTCGTTCTGCGCCCGCTGTGCCGACATGGGGACACTCAAGTTTTCATCTGCGCGGACTCTTTCGTCCGCCTCGCGCTTGCCGGGCCACGCTGCGTCGACTGTGATGAATATAGCCCGTATGCGAGGGTTTTCTGAGCATTCTCGGAGCTGTGCAGCAGACTTGGCGCGGTCCTTATTGACGTACAGCTGGAAAAAATAGTTCGCCCGCGGCCCCGCAGCGGTTATGTCTTTCATGGGATAGCTGGCGCTGTTAGAGATGCCCTGCATGATGCCTCTGGTTCCGCAAGCGCGGGAAACGGCGAGTTCGCCATCTGGGTGGATGAGTTTCACCATGGCAGCGGGGCTGACAAAGAGAGGCATGTTCACATCACAGCCGAGTATTTTAGTTTTGGTATTGACTTCTTTCACATTGCGGAGGACACGGGGCCGGAGCCACGTGCGGTCGAAGAAGGATTTGTTGGCGTCACGAGTGATGAGGTCGTTTGAGGCGCTCGAGTAAAAAGCCCATGTCTTTGCTGGAGCAGTTTGGGAAGCTACGACTTCGAAATCATGGGCGTTTATCAATGTTGTTAGAGGTGGTTTCTCGTTGCTTGGGAGGCGTTTCCCGCTCTGTTCGGAGGGCGCTTTGAGCCATTCATCGTCAACGGAGTTTCGATCTAGAACACCCTTCAGTTTATCACTCGGAAGACTGTTCTTAATAAGATTTGGTGGGTGAATCTCGGAGTATGCCTTTGTTGCATCTCGTCCGGCATATTTGAGGATAACTATCAAAGGCAGTCAATGACCTGCTGCATAGCAAATATATACAGTTGGGAATAACGGTGCGTACTGCTGGGCCCTCCGGGGTGCTCTGAGAGGAAGTCCGAGATGTCCCAAACTTGGTTATCAACAACGATCCAACAGTCATTAGCTGCCTTATGCGCACTAACCTCCAGCGCAGAGATATGTTGGTTATTATTAGATTTTGACATCCTTGCACGAAATTTTGTTGTTTGTGCTTGTCCGTCAAAGTACTGGAGAATCCGCTGCCATTGACTGCAAAAAGGAAAGAAGCGACACCTTAAGGGGAGGGCATCTACACAGAGACTGCAATCAACGAATCACTGAAATTGCCGTGTCGCAAAGTGCCGGGTTGGAACAAGGACATGCGCGAAAAGACGTGGATTTTTTTTAGAGGCCCCTTCGCACAGCACAAAAGGAATAGAGATGAATATTCAATAGTGCTCTTTGTTTTATCAATAGCGATGAAGCTATTCAGCAATTATAGCTCTCGGCCGATGGGTTAGGTGATATGATAACGAGCGAAAATCATAGGGAACGCCATAGTATCAGGTGGGGACGAATCGCTGGCTCAGGGACTGGTCGAGAGCTAGCGTTTGAGCTAAACGAGGTTCTGGGTGATTTATCTTTGTTGCAATTCCATCCGGCCTTTGGAGTTGAAGAGCTTCGAGCCCTTAAAATGCGCTTGATCAAAAACCTATTGCTAGATGTAATAAATATTTCAACGAATGCACAAAAGATGAGCAAATCCTGGCCCAATGCTCTAACTTCCACATCTGTCAGTTTATTTACACGGCATCACGGAAATACTATTATCCAGAACTTCAAAAATCTAGCTTCTTGCAAAACCTGGACGAATTTGAATGAATATCAAGCTTGGAGATTCAGTGGCCAGATGATGAAGTCCTGTTCTTTACGGACTTCCTGTGTCAGGTTAATCCGGGCTGGCTCGCTTCTCCGCTATACCCAATCTCTACAGACTAGAACATTATCGGTGTCGTGTTGTGAATACCCCTCTCGACAAGGTGAGTGAGAAACTTGTCTTTAATTTCTGATTGTAGCGATTCCAATAGCGGCGCATTTGTACTTGTACATAACATTTACTTGCTCATTGTCTTCCTATAGTATATCAAAATTCATTGCTGCGGTATGACCCAATTGGGATCCGCGTAAATACACACAGTCAACATTGCTATCATAACTTTCGGGAAAATCAAAGGACTCCAACCAGCATGGGAGATTCCGTGAAACAGCTGCGATATGCCGACGTAGGTTCGCATACTATGATCTTGTTTGCGTAGCTGAATCTCACAAGCTGTGCTCGCGAAGGAAGGAAATTCGCTAAATTCTTTTTGCGAACAGGTAGCAATCAACCTTGGGGACCCAGTATTCACAGGCGTCTACCACGGGAAAAAGGTCCACGACAATGACTTAGACGATATCATCCAGCGGGCTCTGGATATCGGCTGTCAGAAACTTATGGTCACAGGCTCTGACTTAGACGAGTCGAGACACGCCGTAGAACTTGCCAAGGCTCATCGTAGGTATTCTTACAATATTACCTGTGACCACCCTATCACCTACCTTCCCCCTACGAAGACCATTATGATTTATGGCCGGTCCGACCCTGTCTAACATTTCCCCAATACAAACAGCTGGTATCTGCTACGCCACTGTTGGCGTCCACCCCTGCCAAGCAAAACTCTTCGACTCGTACCCAGAAGGCCCTGAACAGATGTTACAAGAGCTGAGGAGGCTCGCGCTCGAAGCCAAAGAATCAGGCCATGCCACTGCATTTGGCGAGATAGGTCTTGACTATGACCGCCTCTTCTTCTCGCCCAAGGACCAGCAATTGAAGTACTTCGAAGCACAGTTGGATCTTGCAGTTGAGGTCCAACTGCCGCTCTTTCTGCATTCCAGAGCTGCTAGCGAGGATTTCGAACGGCTGCTCACTCCGCGTCTGGCGAAGTTGCCCAAGGGTGGTCTTGTTCATAGCTTTACTGGTACTATGGGAAGAGATGCAGCGGCTGGTCGACTTCGATTGGATATTGGGGTGAACCGGGTGTAGCCTTAAGACCGAAGAGATTTGGAGG